TGCAGCGAATATTTGGAAGCTGAGTCATTTCGAACATGAAACGGATCAGTATGACTTGAAGAGGTTCCCTTGACTGACGATTGTGTTACGTGTTACGTCTGTTTTTCGATTAAATAAAGGGATTAAGTTTCTAAAGAAACTGTGGTGCTGCGTCGGTGGGAGAGTATGACAACTGAAGGTAATTCATCAACTGAGCTGATAACATAAATTGGCCGCTGTAAAGAGTTTCAAAGCTGACTTTTCGAGCGTTAGCCCTTCGTCAGAGAGAATGACGAATGCTCGAAACTTCTCTGTGAAAAACAACGTCACGTAAAATAAAGGTTCACTTGAGTTCCCTTTTAAAGGTATTGGTGAAACACTCGGGAAAAACTTTAGTTAAAATCACGTGGTACATCACAAAGATGTGTGGCACCTTATCAGCTATCAATTGAATGGTTTAAGTCACAAGTCAGAGTTAAATTTTAAAAGACCTCAAGTGAAGCGTGATAAAGAGAGCCTCATGAAAATATTGCTGGGTAGCTTTCATTTGAAAGGTCACTCTTGGAATGATTGCCTGCAGAGCAGGCGTAATTTTGGCAAGCGAGTGCTCAGTGCTCTTTGAGTCTTACGGCAGAAGGCTGGAACGAGAGGGATGAATAAGAAAACGGATGGGCGGATTTAGAGACTATCTTTCTACGCATTTTGGATTCAGAACGAAATGTTAACGGTTTGCGGTTTTAATCAATATTTTGGGACCTAATTTTGGATTGTGCTTGTGATAAAAACTTCGCAACTTGGATCTCTGCCATCTTTAGAAATGTTTTATTTTGCTCTTATGTATGTGCATCAACGCAGTTTTTTTTGTCACGGACGAGACTCGCCGAATGTCACGCTGTAGGGAAACAGTAATGGCGCTGTATGGTCAGGAAGCTGTGGCATGAAGCCAGTGAACTGCCGCCCCCTACCCTTCAAAAGAAAATCTGGAAGTGGCCCCTTCCCGATTTTCTTTTGGAGGGTAGAGGGCGACTGTACATAGGATGGCAACATGTTACCAGTGGAACATTTTGTCTTCGCGCTTTTATCAGCTTGGATTATCTAACAATTTCATTACTGGGTCGTGCGCGGTACTATTTTTAAGCTTTTTTACTTTTCAAACAAACCAGCGAGCAGCACTCTGCGAAGCGTTTCGTCTAACTGTCGTAGACTTCTTCAGGGAGTTTTACTGATGAACATTAAAGGCCCGTATTTATAAGCCATAGTTGGCAGTTATTAGGTGAAGAACGTTTTAAGCTGAAGGTGAAAAAAAAGATTTGAGAGCCACGGTTTTAAATCTTTTTGTCACCTTGCCATAAAACTTTTCTACAACTTCTCTAGTTCCTGTTCGTAAATCCGGCCAGGCCTTCATAGTGTTTGACCCACGCAATGGCCGCTAACCATGGCTTATAAATACTGGCGTGTAGTGTTTACCAGTAAAAATCCCTGAAGAAGTCTACGACAACTAGAAGAAACACGTTGGAGAATAAAACAAGGTTTACAACGACTGTACTACAACTCTTTGACAGCAGAATAAACAGTCCCACATGAAAGGGCTTCTCCGTAGCTTTCATTTGAATGGTCAAACAGCAAGGTGACAGACAAACACAGCGACAGCAGAACTTTAAAAGGTAAAGATAGAGTCGTGCCAAATAATTTACAAACTAGTAAAGGAGTCGGATTCGCTCCTATCTCTATTTATCCCCAAAGTTAGCGCTACCTTTCAAGGAAAAACGCACAGCACCGACATCAAAAACAAACGCAATACATTTACAAGAGCACAGAGATAGCAACCGGCAGAAAACTGTCCGAACAAACGAATGAGGTATTTTACATGGATGCATTTAAGGAGATAAATTATTTCACATCCTAGTAAATGAAATAACAGAAACGACAAAACTTTGTATTTACAATTTTTCTCCGAAATTTGAAATGTTAATAACGCCTAAATACAAGCTAAGACTATCTTGAACTAATCTATATCAAACTAAAAGATAAGAGCGAAATCCAATTGAGTGTCCAACGTATAAAATCTAGACTACCTTTCCTTTGCTTAA